TGATAATAAGAACATGTTTTTGTGAAAATAATTATATTTTCCCCAAAAAAATGTTTTGAGAGAATGCCATTATTTTACATTTTACAAATCTGTTTAGTGTCTGGCTTAATAGAAGACAGTGGGAGGAGTCTCATATCTCCTGCATTTTGTCTGCTGTGCTATGTAAAAGGAAGGAAACTGGACAGACATGTATGTAGGAATATTTTAGTGTGTCTTTGGGTAGGCACTTGGCACAGCCGTCATGGCCCGTAGGGTGCCCACATTGCACATTTAAACCCCTGGTTCACATCCCAATTCCTCTGCTTCCAGCCCTCAGGAAGGCAGCATGGGAGGGCTCGGTCCCTGGTCCCTGCAGCCCTTCTGAGGTGTGGCTTGGGTTCTAGACTCCTGGCGTTACCCAGCCAGCCCTGGTTGGTGCAGGCATTTGGGATGACACAGTCAATAGAGGAGTGATCCCTCTCTCAACCTATCACTGCCTTTCCAGTAAAATGAAAATAAATTTGAACTGTTTCTTTTTAAAAATCCTTCCAGATAATTGTAGATATTATTTAATATTATACAAATTCTATAAATGGTCATTTCTTCAAAGTGGCAATGTAGAATCTTGAGTTTTTCAAAAAGCCACTGGACATCTGGCAATTGGAATAGCTTTGACCAACTTGGGAGATAATGCTTTGCTGAGCTATTGATGTATTTAATTATAAAATATTTTAATCATTTTTTAATATTACCACCTACCTCTTCAGAAGTCTTTTAAGTGATGGGAATCTGTCAGTCATGAAGAATTCATAATTCTGATTTTCACTTAAACACTGTATGTGGTGTCAGAGCAAGCACTGAACACTCACATTTTATCATTGGCAACAAACACTGTCATTATTTTCCTTGAAGTGATAGGTCACTTGATGTTTTACAAATTGCCAAATACCAGTCTTAATAGAAGCACATTTTCACCTACGATCGGCACTCCGGCCGCCTCCCAGCTTTGCTCACTGTCCCAGTGTCCTTGCCCTTGTCTCAGCGTGCCTCACCTGCAGATCCTGACAGGAACAGGGATTAGACTCCACAGCGTGACCAGCACATGGGAGCCGCACAGCCACCAAAGCACCGTGGCCACATAGCTACTGTTAGATGAAGTAACACCTTCTGTTTTTCAGTACGTAGATGTGGTAGTGATTGTTGTGCAAGAAATTTTTTTTTATTGTATGCACCCATTTTATAGCATCTTGTTTAAAGATTAAAAAAAAAATCCTCATCTTGAGGCTGCTGTGAGATGAATCCCAATGCTGTTCTGCAGGATAGACAAGTTGTTGCTACGGACCTTCCACAAACCTTTTTCAGTTTTCTAATGGGTGTCTTCTTCCAAAGCATCTGTTAAGTATGATGTTTCTTTAGTGTTGTTGTTAATAGGTAATCGGGAATCACTGGGCAAATTCACAGGTTTTACATGTGATTTTTTTTTTTAGAAGATTGTCTTGTTTTAGGAGACAGAAATATATTTCTGTCATCGTGAGGGTTTTGCAACTTTTCTTCCTTAGAAGATTCTGGAATCACCTGTGTACAGACTTGGAAAGGTTTGACTGTCCAAGTAAGCACATCCCACGAGTGTGCACACCTCTATTCACACTTAGAGAAAGAAACAACTTCAAATGGGCTGATTTTTTTAAAAAAAGATGTCTGGGGCCTGAGTTCCTTCTTCCTTTCATGCCATGAGAGTGTTACTAGAGAGTTTTAATTGAATATGTTTGGGTTAACGATGAGGAAAACAAAAATAGCATTCCTTTGGAGAAACAGAACCTGGCACCACTTCAACTGGGTCTCAAATGGAACAGATCATCTCATTAAATGAAATGTTTGAATTTTGTCTTTCTAATGTTTTCAAAAGCAGTTAAATCAGACTTTGTACATCTTTGCTTGGTGAACTCCTGTATTTCAGAGTCATGTATCACAAGTAATTAAGGTGTAAATATTTAGGAGAATAATTTGTGCACATTCCAAGTGCTTTTTAAATTATATGCAAACTTAGCTTTCTGACAACATAGTCCCCGCAGAAATGGAGCGTGTCAGTTTGAAGGAGCGCACAGGACTGTGCTCTGTGCCCTGCGCCCGAGCAGACAGCATAGTGCTGCGTCTCCATCAGCCTGTGCCCAGGTGTCAAGCAGGTGGGCATCTCAGAGGACCTACTTCTGTACTGTGCAGGTGCAGGTCGCTGCCACAGCTAGTATCCCACATCAGCTAAAGGTTTCTTTTCTTTCTTTCTTTTTACAGACCTAACCACTAGAATGAATGCTGCATATTAAGAGAAACCACAAGAAGGTTGTATGTTTGGTTATCTGATATTCTTGGATTTAATATGAACCAATACATAGTCATTGTTGTTATTGACAGAACCCCAGTTTATATGTGCATTATTCACATTCCTGTTTGTGTTTGGGGAAAAACAAAAGACATTTTAGCCTTTTTTAAGGTCTTTGACTTGATTTCCTGTTACTTGGCTGCATGAAGTTGCCCTTAACCACTGAGGATGATCAAGACTTCTGCACAGACTTGTACGTGTCTAGGATCCTTGTCTCAAGGCAGTCCTGTTCTGTTTTTCCTGCCTTCACCCACCATCACCAAACACTTTGTTAAATACTCGCATTTTTTTAGACTACCACTCAACATAATGCATAAGGGTGAGATTTCCTAACAAACCCAGGAACTAATTCCTAGATGCATAACATTGGTATATTGAAGATTTATTAAAATTGTCCTTCAGTTTTGAGGCCATGTGTAAAGTTTAACCACATTGTAAAATACCTATTCTGTATTAGAAATAGCTAGCTGACAGCTTATACTTCTCAAAACTCATGTTGTTATGTATACAAACTTGAGTTTCTGTATGTGAAGTTAGTGAGTCTCTTTGTGTTACTCCAAAATAAAGGCAATGATTTATTTTTTCCCAGTGCCAACACAATTTGAGCAAATCACTCCAGGTGGATACTCCATTTTATAGCTGTAATCAGCAACAGCCCTGTGGGAAACCAGATGAAACACTGACTTTTAAACAGACTTTTAAAATGAACTGTTTTCTTTTAAAACTAGAAGTAGAATAGTTGACATTCATCCATAAACCATTATTATGTGTACATTATTGTTGCTATTGTGATAATAGAAAATTTTATTTATTTTTATGCCAGCTTATATTGTGAAAACACATTTAGTCAGTTTGGGTTTTATCAATCCTATTATGCTTGTCCTTGGAACATCTTTCTCGTATTCAAGGTTTGTAGTTGAAAAGTTTACTGTAAAGAAAAAAAATCAAAAACAACAAAAAAATGTATTGTTTTTACAGAATAAATTTATTGGAATGTGTACTGGGAGTAAGATTTGAGGTTGTAAACACTAAGTTAGTGTAATTTGGCTTCATATATGTAATGTGAGGTATTAATGTAATTCATATTAAAAACAAAAATTGTTAACAGCAGGTTGACGGTAGAATCAAGTGCAGGTGAGGGTTTTTTTGTGTTTTTTTTTTAAAACACTGGGTGTTTGGTTATTTGAAAACCCTTGAGGCGGGGTTAAGAGAGGTGAATACACACTTTTCTTGCACATGTAAGGAAGTATTGAAATTACACACTTGATATTATCCATGCATTAATTTATATCCTATTTAATCCCATTTGATCTTGGTTCTCTTGATTAAGAGCTAATAACATGAATATAAAATGTAAGATCTGAGAGCTTAGGTCCATCGATGATGATGGTGGTGGTGGTGATAATGATGGCAGCTGAGGGAATGAGCAGGGACACACTGAGGCAGCAGCTGCCTTTGCGGTCTCTTTTTCTCATTTAGCAATGATTTTCTCTATTATACTAGTACACAATTCCAAATATGGAAAGTTCACCAAAAGACAACAGGAATGCTAATCCAGTTCTTCTTGAAAAGGTGCTTTTTAATTTTGAATGGCTTCAGCTTATTTTGACAATGAATGAAAATAATTCATCAGACTTCATTGCTCAGACTACAACATCAGGAGAATATAGATATAGTTTGCAGAAACAGACACACAGGACTCTCATCCCACTGGTTCACTCCCCAAAGGCCCACAGCAGGCAGAGGGTCTGGGGCTGCAGCCAGGAACTGGGAGCTCCCTGCAAGTCTCCCCCAGAAGGGGCAGGGCCGGCTGCCTAGCTATCCCCCACTGCTTCCTGGGACCTGCACTGGTTGGAAGCTGGAGTGAGCAGCCAGAGCCAGCAGTCCAACTGGGGTGCTCTGCTGGGGGCACGGCAGCCTCAGCCCTGGGCCAAGTACACCCACCTCAGATAGCATTTTAACTGGAACATATTAACTAACAAATTTCCTTAAATAAAAAGCCAGCACTTGCCATGGGAAAAAAATGTTTCAAAGCAAATTGGGTTTATCTTCATAAAAGGCCAAGAATAATTTTATTAAAAATACACACAGAAATATAAACATTTCCAGCTACCAGTAAAACCAACGTTAATTAAAGGTAGTGGTGAAGTTACTCTCTCTTTAGCTACTTAGATTCACACACACACACACAAACTAGTAAACGCCAATTTTGAAACTGTAATGAACTTTCCCTGGGAAAACATTTTCCAAACATTTGTGAAATATTCTGATGATTTGACCTGCAAATTGAGGTTCATGATAAGGCATGTATGTCTGGTAAATAGTTGTCTCTGCAACCTGCATTGGCTAGTCTGAACTTTTTATATGCATGGATCATACTCACTTTTGAGTAGCTTCATTTTCATGCTCGCTATTGTAGGTGATTAAATTGTAGCTTTCCACACTTGGCAACTAACTATTAGCAAACAGAACATTGAGATAAACGGTCATTCATTCACACATAATTTTGAATATATTTCTTTAAACAAACTTTCTCAACAACTTGAATCTCCCTTCAAAGAAAAATTTACCTACAAAATACCACGTCATATAGTTCAGGCATAAAGTACAGAGCAGGAATTTACTTTTTTTTTTTTTGTTTTAATTTGTGTAGTCTTAAGTATTTGGGAATGGAGGGAGAACCATGGGACAAAGTATCAGTACCAGGGTAACAAAATCAGGGAGCAGAGGAAGGATGTGAAGTCGGGCGTCTTTCTATTCCACTTTCTCATCTGCCTTTGTTTTTATGAAGAACTCGGGTTTGTAGATGCACCGGTAGGCCAGGAGCTGAGGAAGAACTCCATACGCTACGTTTAATGCTAAAAAAAGAATTTTTGCTTCTTCGGGGACTCTGTAGACATAAGCAGTTCTAGCATGAAGAGAAGCACCAATGTGAGAAAACTGAGCCTGTTGCATTAAAACAAAAAGATGGGTAAGCAGGGCGTGTGCGTGGAGGCGGACGACAGGTGAGTTTGGAGTGCCCCAAAAATCAACCTCATCCACACGTGAGACACCTTCCAAAGACCCAGAGTCTTCAGTCGGATTCCCACTCATCACCGTTCAGGCCATTCCTGCTGCTAACAGCTTTCCCATCATTACACCTTCTCTAATGGGCTTGCAGCACACCGGGAGTGTTGCCCCAGCCCAGACATCAGTGATTCAACAGAAAAATCTGGATAAACTCAATTTTTTTTTCTGATGTGCATCCTGGAGATCCTACAGTAACACTCAATCATGGCTCACAAGCTGTGTTCCAATAAAAGTGGAAGAAAGTACAGGTTTTTCCTTTTTCAGTTTTTAGCATAATAAATCAATAAAGAGAAGTACTGGGTCCCTTAGCCTCATTTCTCAGCCTTTGATGGACACCTCGGAGCAAGAGCTCAAAACCCGTCAGTATGGAATTGTCGTTTATTTATTTATTCATGTATTGGGTTTAAAGCAACTTGAGAAATACTAAGGGTTGTTTTCTAATGTGAGGTTGCCCACAGCTTCAGTGAGGGCAGGAGTGCAGTGGCTGTGTACCCAGTGACAGGTGCACGCACAGGCCACCTGTCACCAAGGCAGCGGAAGTATTCCAACGGGTGACTTGTCCTCACGTTCTTGCTCAGAACACAAGCCTGTGCCGGCCTGTCTTTTTTATACTTTGCTTAAGCACAGAGGAAAGCTCTTTGCAAGGGTGCTTCTGACAGCAGCAAGATTAAAAGCTATGAGGACTTTTCGCAAGAGACATTTCTGTTACAAAACAACCCTGGAGTCTGCATTTTCTATCTTGCCAGAATTCAGACTGCATGTGAGTAAAAGATGAGGAATCTAAATATGACAAGTAGTAAATTACTAGTTTGTCAGGATCAAAGTGAAGAGATGGGAGATGTGCAGTCTGAAGTCACAGACGTAACAAGAAACTAAAGAGAACTGGCTTTCAGCATGTCTTGTGGGTTTCTTCCACAGGAACCCAAGTTAGTTTGCTGAGCTAAGAAGCCACTGCCTTCCCCAGTCAGAACGGTAGGCTTTTCCAGGCACCAGCTTTATGGATTGGTACCCGTGACAGGTACTAGACTGCAACTGGATAAAATACCACAATTCTCAATACCTCTGGCACATGTGTGCTAACTATCACGTTAGGAACTAGTGTGACATGGATCGCCAGCATTGCAACCCAGCAGGCCCAGAGAGAGGGCTCTGCCTTGAGACACCCCCGGGGGCAGACGCCCAAACCAAACCAGCAAGTGTACCTGCTCCTCCTCGGGCTACAAGGACCAAGTGTGGGGCTGCCCTGAGGCACACCTGTGGGGGACATGCAGGACCCCAGCTCCTGTCACTCTTTGCCTCAAGCCCATTTTGAACAGCAGTGTTTTTCTGAGTCATTAGCCAAGCTTTTCCTTCTGGACTGGTGACCAGTTTTGAACCCTACGCTTCCAAAAACAGTGGTTTGGTGGTTGTATCTTTAAAGACTCTAGTACATATCACCGACACCAGAATCAGTGAGATGCCAGCCTCTGCTGAGAGAAATGAGCAGCCATGCCTTCCTGACAGGGAAGCCTGCAAAAAAGCCTGTGATTCCGTAAGGCCTGTTCCTTAACATTGACCAGTGCAGTTAATACCTCATTCTATCACAGACGGCAAACTCACGGCAACATTACAGAAAACAATTTATGTCCTTAGATTGTGAGCCCCAGGGGCAGGTCCTGTGTCTGATGTTGTGTGTGGCACCTGTCGCATTGTTAGAGCTCAATAAACGTTCAACAACAGTGGTCTCATGGCTGTCGGGCTACAGCAGGATCAGCAGGGCGTCTCTGTGGGTCTGCTCAGAACCTGACACTGCACAGGCGCTCTGTTTATGGTGGGCACCCAACCACATCGTGTATGCCCCCCCCAAAGGGAATCCTGTCAAAATTCAAACCTCAGTCTCACCTAGATTCCTCCCTTCCAGTGTCAGTGATGGGTCATGGGAGGGGGTGGGACCTCCTGCTAAGGTCTTAAGAGCCCAGCCTGTGTGTCCTGCCAGGCCCGGGGAGTCCTGTGCTGGCTTGTGGCCCAGATTACAGGTACAAGCCAGACGGTCAAGACATTTCTCCAGAATGCAGTAACATGAGGTCGCATCAAACTTTTAGGTCCCTAACAAACTTTTCTTCCACCTCATTGTAAATCACTTTTAACTTTAAAGAAATATTTTTGGCTCTGAGGTTTTGTTTTGTTTTAATGAGTGATTAGAAGGTGAACCACTAAAGGCCCACGTGAAGATTGCATTTTAATAGCATTATCCTACAGAGATGACTTGGACAGGGTGACTGAGTCATTGCTGGCTGTGTGAGGAAGAACTGAAGAAAGTGCAAATGTTGTGGGTGTCTGTGAATCTTAACAACTGAGGTGAACTGCTGGACGGTGGCCAGGCTGCTGGGCCAGTGTACGGTGTGACCACAGCTAATCCAGAACCATGCTCTCTTGGTTTTCTGAGCAGCACAGTGAAGTAGTTCAGGGCGATGGGCAAGGCATGGAAACCTACTTCCTAGCTGTAACATGCTTCAGGCAGTGCCCAGCCTAACTACAACACCTGCTTGTGACCGGGGGCTTGCTCTTACTGAATACCTGGGCTCTTTTTAAATCCCCTTGCTGATCTTCTGACTGTTGTTCATGTGCACCAAGGACAGTATGCATGTAAACATGTTAAAGCCCAGAGTCTGATTTTAATACTAAGTAGAGATGGTCAGTAATGAGACTGGCAGATACACACTGCCCACTCCCACCCCATCCCATTATCCCCGCTCTCCTAAAGCTTTGTTTCCTGGTATTAAAAGTTTCCAAAAGGAAAAGAAGAAAGTAAGAAACCCAGTGAAGTCAGCTGCACACCCAGAGCATCCTCAGGTAAGCCTCCAGCCCCACTGAGAAGGTACACGGGACTGCTGGCGGGGTGTGGGCTGGTGAGGACAGCCAGTGCCCGGACCAGTGGATCTCACCCCGCTTGGAGAGCAGGGTCCACTGTCTGTCCTGAAGCTGTTCTAGAGCCTTATGTGCAGCACACATAGTTTGGCTGTCTAAGGACCAAATCGCATAAGCAGCAGAAGGCTTTTCTCCTGTAATCTGTTACCTAGCCTTGAGAACAGTGACAGAGGAGAGAAATGCAGCACCACACACCGCCCAAAGCCCTGCACGTGTATTTCCTCAGTGGATTCTCAGCAATTCTGCTGGGAAGCTGCTCCGACTGCCCTCCACTCACCAGGAGAGGAAACGAGGCGAAGAAGCCAGAGCCACCCGGACTGCAGGTGACAGGCCGGGGTCTGAACCCAGCTGCCCCTGGAGCGCAGGCCTCTGACCACGTTGCCAGTACTACTCCAGTAGAGTGGATGTTCCCATCCCCCAGGACCCACAGATGCTCAAGTCATTTCTGTAAAGCAGTACCATATTTGTGTATGACCCCTGCCAGTCCCTCCCACCTGTATACATTAAGTCATCCTTAATGTCATGTGGGAACCAATAACATGAAAATGCTATGTAAATGTTAGACTGTGTCATTTGGGGAATGGCCAAAAGAAGCCTAAAAAAAGTTCAGTCTTACAAGTCAAGCCATTATAAACTTCTATTCTTCCCGTCTACAGTTGGTCAAATCTCCAGGTGTAGAACCTGCAGATTCAAAGGGCCGAGTGCACTTCAGTTGCTTTAAAGGAAAAAAAGTAAGTGGACTTGAGCAGCCCATAATACTTGCTAAGCCAGAATCAACCTCAACCCCATGGTAAGGATTTTCTATGAAAAGATAGCTGGGGAGAGTCGTGGCAGGGCAAGTGAAGCCAACTCCTTGTGGTACCAGCATTTCCTATGGGCCACCTTTCAAGCCCTGGGCACTTGCTCCCAATGCAGCTCCTCGCTCGTGTGCCAGGGAAAGCAGCAGAAGATAGCTCCCACACTGGGGCCCCTGGATCCACACGGGAGACCCAGATGAAGCTCCTGAGCCCTGGCTTCAGCCTGGCCCAGCCTTGGCAGACATTTAGGAAGTGAACAAGTAGAAGGAAGATCTTCCTTTCTCTTTTTTTCCCCCCCTCTCTTAACACTGTTTTTCAAATAATTTTTTAAAAAGAGGTAGTTGGTTATGACTAAGTCTCCAGTGGAAGCCTGTCAAATCTGCCCTGTGTTTCAGCATTCTATTTTTTACATTTTGATTGCTCTTTTGATTTCTGAAGGTGGAAAACATAACGTTCAGTCCTGGCAAACTCTTAGCATCCACATTCAGGGTATGGGTCTTCTTCCACCTACCTAAACTGATCCAAAACTTTTTCAAAGATTCTGTTTTTCTTAAATTGTATGGGTCCTGGGACTGCTGTCTTTCCATGGAGCAGGTGCTCATGAAGTTGGTCAGATTGTGGATGCACAAGGTTTCTCGGGAATGGCAGTATGAGCCCACGGGGTGCTGGTGAGGATTGTGAGGGTCCCCTTCTGGGACAGATGGGTCAGATGCTCTCCCAAGATAAAACTCCTTCCCAAAGCAAACCACATGCCTGGAATTTGGAATTCTGAGTATATGCATTTCTGCTTTTTTTCCTTTAGGCTAAATACTACAAGTCAATTAGAGCCCAGCCAAAGGCTCCTGGGATAGCAAGACACCTGGCTCTTGACTGAGGCCACCCTCACCCGTGGGTTGGGACAAACAGCTTTGTGACGCTGACAGGATCTGGCCCTGAGCCTCAGGCCCTGGCACTGGGTATCTTACTGGCAGGAGAGAGGAGCTTCCAGCTGTGCCCAGGAGTCCCTGCAGGGCCTTGCCACCGTCTGCAGTCCCCACTGTCTTCCACAAGGGTTCCACTGGCAGAATTGGGCTCTCCTTCCTACAGCCAACTCATACACCTATCAGCTCCTGAGCCGGAACCTTCCTGAGCCTAACTTCTGACTCTGGCCGCAGGACAAGCCGTGTCTTAGGCTGTTTTGCCTAATTTTCCAGTTGTGTCCTGAGTCTAGACCAAACCCCACGAGGGAACTCTTTGGCCAGCCTCCTTGCTAACAACACTCTTGCTGTCCTGGCAGCCAGCACAGGGTGAGCCAAAACTGGATGACGGGGCTGGTATCTGGCTCAGCATCTAGAAGATGCTGCTTGGGATGTCAGGGCTGGAGCTCACCCATAAGTGTCCGGGCTCCAGCCCCAGCTCTGCTCCCATTCCAGCTTTCTGCTCCTGTGCACCCTGGGAGGTAGGGCAGGTGACAGCTCAATTTGCTGGGTTGCTGCCACCCATGTGGGAGACATACACTGACTTCTTGGCTCCTGCTTTTGGCCTGGCCCACCATCACCTATTGGCCATCTGGAGATCTTGCTTGTGTATCTTTCTCAAAGAAAATCTATAAGGGTGTCAGTGCAGTTGCTCAACAGGCTAAACCTCTGCCCTGTAGCACTGGCATCCTGGCTGCTCCACTTCCCATCCAGTTCCCTGCTTACAGCCTGGGAGAGCAGCAGAGGATGGCCCAAGTACTCAGGCCATGCACTCACAAAGGAGACCTGAAAGAAACTCCCAGCTCCTGGCTTTGTATCAGCTCAGCTCTAGCCAGTTTGGCCATTTGGGGAGTGAACCAAATAGATCTCTGTATCTCCTTTTCTGTAAATCTATCTTTCAAGTAAAATTAATAAACCTTTAAAATTAAATAAAATAAACATCTATAATAAAGCAAGGCTGGTCAGAGATGCGAGTCCCCCTGAGCTGGAAAGACAAGAGAACAGAGCTGGGGTGGTAGGCCAACAAAAGCCAGGACTGACTGTACCCCCTGAGCTGCTCCCTCCCAAACCTAAATGCTTCCTGCTATACTTCCTGGAGAGACTCAGGCCCGCAAAGCCCAGCTCAGCACTCAGCACACATGCCTGTGCCTCCTCCCCTGGCACCGAAGGGTCGCAGCTGCCCCGTGCCACACTACAGCATCTTCACCCACAGCGCTCCGCTGCAGCTAGCCACATGGAGCCTGGGGACATGCAGCAGAAGAAATGGGGGCACTGCAGTGCCACGCCATGTCCCTTTGCTAGTCTCATGCAGTAGCCACAGCCTCAGGCCGTGCTGAGCCTCTGCTTCCAGTGGGCAGCGACAGAGAAAGAATCCAGGAATTCATCCAACTGTGTGCCTCCTGCGGCATCACCAGTCCCCATGCTGGTGCCTCGGTGCCAGGCGAGACCCCTGAAAACCACCCCATACAAACTCTGAAGGCATAAAAAATGAAGTTCAATTGTGGGAAGCCACTGGGCATGACGGCAACAGGGCACAGAGCGAAACAATATGGGTGCCCACCACCATCACCCCACACCTTCCACCCTGTGTAAACTCAGGCCAGTGCAGTGGAGCTGGGAGAAAATGGATGGATTTGGGAATTAATCTGCGGACAAGTGGCCAGACCTAGAGATGGGACTAGGGGGGAGAGGGTAATGCATACAAACAGAATAGAAAGAACAAGAAGAAGGGGAGTTGTAGGGAGGCTCAAGTGCTGTTTTCGACCGGAAGTAGGGGCTAAAGAGGAACAAAAACCCCAACGCTGGCTGAGGCACCAGGGGTTCGGTGGCGGCATGCAAAAAGGGACCTTCCTAGGTCCCTTCGAAAGAACTGGACCCATTCCCTCAAGTCCATCCACACCGCCGATGTTAATTTTACCATGAATTTGATATTTACCTAACTTTACTGTGAACTGTCTCAGATCGGAAGGATTGAATTCAAATCTGCCTTCCCCCATAAATGTGGTGTTTTTCAACTCTGCAAAATCGAGGGTGTGTTTATATACTCGAGTAAATAACCATACAGAAAGATAGAATTAAAAGACATACTATCCTATCTTTTCTAAAAGGAGATAACATCACTTCATGTCCTTGGCCAGAAGAGCAGACTGTTGGCTAAGTGTCACTTTTGTGCTTAGCGTGGTAACACCACAGACAATTCCACACCAATTCCAGGAGGCAGGGTGTCACAGAGATGGGGACCTGGCGAAGTGCTGGCCGGGAAGGGGGGGCGGATGGCGCGACATGAAGGGCCTCGCTTGGCAGGAACAGAAGTATTTTTTAAATCAGTTGCCCTGGCTCTGTGGGTCTCATAGCAAAATGGAATTCTGAGGGTTTGACCTTGAGATGGCCACCGTGACAGTGCAAGCACCCTAGAGTGGGCAGCCGTCCTAGGCGACAACCAGGGACACTTACCACCAGGGCTGTGATATCTACCAGATGCCCTACCATCCCTCTCCCCTAGCAGAGACTTAAGTAAAATGCCAAGGCACAAAGGCCTCTTCCTAAGGGACTGCTCGCTCCCATGTCTGGGTAACAGCCTCCCCCTCCACGCTGAGCTAGGCAAGTACACACATCCCACATCAGCCCACAGCTGGCCCACCAGGGAATCTTCCCTAGGGAGCTGGCCTCATACCTGCGCAACGCCTCCAGCGTGCAGCAGCGTGAGGTCAGGCATCCAGGAGCAGCCAGGAACCAGCAAGCCGTACAGCGCCATCACAAAGTACGGGACAGAATAGAACAGGTACGCCAACATCTAATGGGAAAGGGCAGGCGATTTACAGTTAGCCAGAGGACCCAGCTGTCCTGATGCTGCTGTTGTTTAAGGGGGAAAATTCTATTAGAAGAAAATGTTGGGCCGCAGCCCAGGCTGACCTGAATCTTGGGGTACGCGGCGGGGTCCTTGAGGTAGGGCTCTTGGAACTGAGTGTACAGCCGGCAGAACTCAGCCGGGCAGTCCAAGGCGATCTAAGAACACAAAAGAATTCAGGGTGAAGAGACAGCCACATCCAGCTCTGTAGGTCAGCCAGACCCCAACTCCCTGGTCTCCAGGTCTTTTCTTTAAATGCAGAGAAGAGGGAAAACAGAAAAAAAAAAATGAAATGCCCCGTACTCTGAACATGAATGGGCTGCAGCCAAACATCGCCCAGAGCCTCGAGCTCCCTGTGTTCAAGGTGGCCTCTGCAAGAGCAACTTTGGCACGGACCTTGCACAGACACACACTGTGGGTCTGCCTCCCTCCTTCTTCCCCCTGCCTCAGTCCCATTGCCCACTGCCTACACCCAAGGTCGCATGGGTGCTGTCACCCAAAATGCTGACGCTGGAATCCTGAGGCTGTGATGGCTACCTCTCCAGCTGCACTCACTAAGTGAAGCAGAGTTCTGGGCAGAGACAAGCCTAAGGGGGCATTGTGAGATGAGCAAGCCCCAACCCCAGGCCCAGGCAGGAGAGCGGCAGGGAGCAGGTCCCAGGGAACAGGGCATGAGGCTGCCTCACCAGGCCTCTGAAGAGACAGAAGCCAGTGGCCAGTAGGAGACATGCGACCAGCACGAGGTCCAGCGGTCTTCGCAGCAGGTCCTTCGCTTGTGCTTCTTGCACAACCTGAAACAGAGGGCGTGGTTAGACTGCAGGCTCTAGTGCTGGAATCTACCAAGATGTCAGATGTCACTGTGACAGATGGCAACAGGAGTCATGATTCGCAGCCTGTCTCGCTAGCCCGGGGACTTCAGGGCAAGTGTGGCCTCCCTCCAGTCCCACTTCCCTCATCAAAGGGAAGGAAGAGATGGCGTCCCTTGCCCCCTATCTCTAGGAGATATTATTTCTTCCTCAATGCCACTTGGAGGATTATAAATTTAAGTGCGCTCATTTGCAAAGTACAATCTGAAAAAGTGATGCAGCAACCTGCTATGCCACTAATAGTTGAAATGTTTTCCTGGGCCTGTGTATAAAAATACACTCACACAGTCATGATTTTTTTTCACAAAACTAAAACTTAGTGGATGAAACAAGGCTTATATTTGTTCTTTTTGCCCTCAACATCTGCCTCTATTAAAAGCACTTTTTTACATTCTTACACATTTGTTGGAGGGGCCAGAGCTGTGGTATAGCACACTGAGCTGCCACCTGCAGTGCCAGCATTCCATACAGGTGCAGTTCATGTCCCAGCTTCTCCACTTTTGATCCAGTTCCCTGCTTATGGCCTGAGAAAGAAACTGAGGATGGTCTAAGTGCTTGAGACCCTGTAGTCATATGGGAGAAATGGAAGAAGCTCCTGGCTCCTGGCTTTGGGCAGGTTCCACTCTGGCCACTGCGGCCATTTGTGGAATGAACAGGCGGATGGAAGATCTCTCTCTCTTGGCTTCCTATGTGTGTGTTTTGCTGAAAAGACCCTGGCCTAGGACCAGCCACCAATGAAAGGAAGTCAAACTTGGAGAGATGTCACTTAGCTGGAGGCCGAGCCCCTCTCGAAGCACTTGTCAGGCCATGGCTTGTTCACTCTGACCACCTTGGCTGTGAACAGCAGGGAGGCATCCCAGAAGATACCCAGGGCCGGTCTCCATGGGCCTGCCCTTTCCAGAGGCCGGAGCCTCAGCCACAGAGCCTGCAGTGGACAGCGTCCTGTCTCTAGCCTGCTCCCAGGGCAGTGCCCAGGCACTGCGCATCCGGGTCCTGAATAGCATACCACCCACCGCAGACTGTGGACTGAGACAGGGTCTGAAGGTGACAGTCAGCATGACCCAGGGGCACAGGAGGTTCCCAAAAAGCATAGCCTCTCCCCCTGTGGAGACACCTTGAAGCAGGTGCCTCCAGACTCAGACCCCCATGGCCTCCACGGCTCCCTTGACTTGGCTGTGAAGCATGCCGCAGGCGTGCCGGGGTCACAGGGCAGACGCTTCAGTGGATGGGGGTGAGCCCGGCAGATCTGAGAAGGCATCACATTCAGACGTGATCAAATCACCTTGGAGGGGTAATTACAAGGCTCTCCTGGCTGATTGTAAATTCTGAAGCCAGCCCAGATGGGAAGACAAGTGTATGGTATGCTTAAGAAAAAAGCAGGGCAAATTCGGGATCCATACTTCCCTATGTGAGAAAGAGAAATGAGAAAGTCAAAAGTTGACCAGAAGCACATGGAAACACAAGTGACCCTCCCCTCCCCCCATCCCAAGTCATATAAGACTAAAACAACCAGGCAAGATCTGTGATGAAGCAGAAATAAAAGCCCGGGTTAAGCCTTCAGGCGTCAACATTAACAGGCATGCCTCAGCTTCAGAACTTAACAGCGCCCTCATGGGCATCAGTCACCTCTCAGACTGGGGCCTTCACGAGTCTTTCATTTCCAGCTACATCTTGGGAGACCAACACTCTACTCAAACCTTCTGGGTCCTTCTAAGAAATCTGACAGTTGACCCTGTTCAACACACATTTCTAAAAAACCACTCAAGAAAGGCTTCTTAGAAGGTGAGGTTGAGGAGGCAAACAGAAAGACTAATTCTGCAAGACAGGTTTTTATAGGTAAGCTTGGGAATCTCCCGTTTCCATTGTAACCCAGTCAGTGCCTCTGTTATTTATTTGTTTGTTTGTTTGTTTATGGGAAGAAATTCGCCAGGGCCAGCACAATGGCTCAACTGACTAATCCTCCACTCTACCTCCAAGTGCAGGGATCCCATACGGATGCCAGTTCATGTCCCATCTGCTCCACTTCCCATCCAGCTCCCTGTTTGTGGCCTGGGAAAGCCATACAGGACGGCCCAAAGCCTTGGGACCCTGCACCTGCATGGGAGACCCAGAAGAAACTCCTGGCTCCTGGCTTCAGATTGGTTCATCTCTAGCCATTGTGGCCATTAGGGAAGTGAACCAGTAGATGGAAGATCTTTGTCCCTCTTTCACTCTGTATATCTGCCTTTCCAATAAAATTTTTAAAAGTCAGTGAAGAATCATCTTACCTACAATGTTTCCAGGCACAAACACAACAATGCTCATGAGAATAGAGCCAACCCAATACAGGCCGACGGTTCTGTAACCTTCCCTGAAAGACACAACAATCTTCAGGTAGTTCCGTAAGCATAAAAGACACAAAGGCGACCCTCAGGATTTAGCAAAGCTCCTGAACTGAAACTTCTGCAACTGGGAACATTGCCAGGACCCCTGGGGACGAAGCCTCATCTCCATCCGACAGCCATGTGAACAGGAAGTGGTGGCGGCCACACACTGCAGTGTTCACACCTCAACTGTGGATGAAACTCACAGCCAGAAGAGCTGAGGAAGGTCCCAAGACAGGGAAGTGGGGAGGAGCCCCGTCAAATGTGAGCAGCGGACTTCCTCCGATGTCAAAGCAGGGCTGCCAAGGCCCCAACGTGAAGACACCGTGTGACGCATGTCCCCACATGCTAAAGGATCTGCTAAACATAACCCATCCTGGGGGGCCAACACTGACAACAGTCCCTTCAGCTTGGAGTCCTTGTAATCCCCACCCAGACCGCGCGCTCTAGAGCAGGCTCTGGAAATTCACGTGAACCTGGACAGGGTGGCGGAAGTAGATGCTCTGTGCTGGCTGGCCTGGCCCCCAGTGTGCCCCCAGAGCGGACCAGAATGAGCCAGAGGCAAGCAGAGTTCCTGAGCATTGGAGGATGGTAGGAGGGAGAGGAGGGCAGTGCTGGGAGAACGGAGCCACAGCCGGCCAGTTAGGCTGCAGTCCCTGGGTTAGCGGGGGTAGACCCCACACCTGAGCCATTGCCTGAAAGAGGCAGGGGGAATGGAGCCATGGAACCAGTGTTCTCGGCCAAGCCAGCTCTTCTCGCAGCTGCCCTTCCACACCTGCTGCTCGGCGCAAGCACTCAGGATGATGGGCGAGTGACTTACTCCCAGGCGATGGCGGCCACCATCACTAGGTACATCAGGTAATGGGCTGAGCCGTCCCAGTAGCAGATCATGTGGCCGTAGGCGGTGTTCAGGTACGGTTCACCCTGAGGAAGACGCCAGACAAGTGCACTGGAAGCAAGGCTCCGACATGCGTTTACTGAATCAGTTAATTAATCCGATTGGCAGACAGACATAGACCTGGAGACAGAGAGCTCCCATCCACCTACTGGTACCCACCCTTCCCCGCCTCCATCCAGCTCTCTGCCATGAGCTGCCTCTCAGGGTCTGCATTTGCAGAAGCCCGGAGCCAGGAATCAAACCTAGGCACTTGGGTGTGGGACATGGGCATCCTAACCACGAGGTCACACGTACTGTCATCCCAAACTCAGCTTTTAATTCCATTTTCTGTGAGTTCCGTGAAGAAACCGCTGTGTGTGGACGCACGCACAGAGCTGTACAATGACCCCCCTCGTGCCCCTTCCAACAGCCTGGGAGGATAGGCATGCCTGGGCTCCCGGAGGTGAGATATTGTGGCCTGTACCACCAGGAGCCCGTCTTCTCCTGATGACCATGAGACTGCGGGGCGGGCAGTGTCTCCCTTCCCCCTGCGGTCACGGCTGCAGGTGGGGGCTGCTGGGAAGTGCCGGCAGATCTGCCCGCATAGTTGGTGTCCTTCTAGCCCCATCTGGTCTCTTTCCTCCTTCTGCCCACCTTCCTACCCTCCTGGCTCAGCCCACGTGCCCCCTCTCCGCCCCCCCACCCCCCCCCGCCACGGCCCAGGATTCCCAAATTCCTCCCCAACATGGAAGAGCACAAGGTCAAACCAGACTTCACCCTGGGAGTGTGACTGCTAAATCCTACTGACCAGATGGAGTGACCGTCACAGCAGGGCAGGCAGCAACAGCCACCAAGCCCGTGCCCCAGCTCTGCCCAGAAATCCCCACCTGACTTTGTTGCTCATCAGTCTCTCGCACCACGCTCTGTGGGTCGGCGTCCCCAGCCCCTCACACTCATCCAACCTCCACCCTACAATCTCAGTCCACCAGCCTCCCCTCCCCTCCACATTCAGTCTGCCCATGCCAACCCCGGGTCACCTACACGGTTCCGGCAGATCCCATCTGTGATGTCGCCCAGGATATCCCCCTTCTCAGTCCCTGAGCATTCCCCACGGAACCCCAGCCACAAGTCCAGGTGAGCTCCGGTCCCCTCTCACCTCCTGGCCTTGCCATCACTTCCTACCACAAGGCAGAGATCCAGGTGGTCTCTACTCTGCAACCTCCCAAAGCTGCTGGCGCTGGATCCAGCCCAGATCTCCCAGCACCCAGACCAGGGTGCTGCTGGATCCGCCCCCTTCATCCTACTCACCTGCTCAATGCTTAGTGCTGGCCTTGATCGGCTCCACCCCCAGATCTCCCAGCCGCTGCTGCTTCCCCAAATCGCCCCTGCACAGACCCCCACTCTGAGGCTTTTCCCTTCACCTACCCCACCCCCTGGCACCTTCCACTTCAGGGGCTCCTCCCCTTCTGCTTTGGGCTCCCTGGTCCCAAGGGAATGGACCCACAGCGTTTTGCAGGAGGAAACCCCCAAATCCCCGAGACCCTGGGCATCCCCAGGTGACCTCCACACTGCTTCCCCATCCCTGCCCCTCCTCCCCACAGCGATGCATTTCAGGGAAGGTGGGACGCTCGCTTCACCGCAGCCTCTACCCACCTGTGCCTTTTCCCTGGGTGCCCTCCCCCTGCTGGGGTGGCCGGAAGTGGTGCTCATCTACAGCCTGCAGCCGTGGACTGTCTGCTCAAGCTGGCTTCTCCATGCTACGTCCTGGTCACACAACACATCCCCCTTCTCTGACAGCCAACCTGCCCTGACTGAAAATCCTCCATCACCAGGGATTAAGGCCCGCCTCTGCTTCCAGTCCAGCTTCCCACTAGTTCACACCCGGGAGGCAGCAGGAACCGGCCCAAGTGCTTGGGTCCCTGCATCCACACAGGAGACCTGGATGGAGCACCTGGCTCCTGATTTAGGCCTTGGCCCAGCCCCAACTACTATGGGCATTCAGAGAACAAACAAGCAGATGGAAGATATCTCTCTCTCTTTCTCTCTCTGGTGTCAGGCTTGCTACCTGCTACAAGTTGCACCTACGTGTATGGGGTGGGGGAAGGGGTGAGGGGGTGGTACAAGTCCCGCTGAGTGCCTTCGCTATGTTGGGCACCTAACAAATTTAAGACTTACTTAGGTTATCTGAATAAGTATTACCAGACACACAAATCCTAAATCCATCTCCAGTTCCTCATTTACCTTAAGTAGGAGTCAAACAGAAGCAGGTCATGAGGCAGGTGGAGCTGCAGGGGCTGAACACCTGAGGCAAGCAAGGCCCTGGGATGCCATGGCACCTTGGGGCTGGGTGGCCCGAGGCCACGGCAGCAAATGCAATGCTGTGACCCGCCCCTGTCCATGCTCTCGTGGGGGACACCCGTGCCCAGGTGCCGATCCCTCCCAGCACAGCCCCATACCTCTCTCAGGTAGTAAGTCATGAAGCCATCGATGATTCCATCTTGCTCTAGTCCGATGATGAGGTTCACCACACTGGTAAATCCGAACACTGCATACACTAGGAAAAGAGACACCAGTTTAAAAACCAGGAGTTCAGGCCAGCACTGTGCAGTGGTGAGCTAAGCTGCCGCCTGCAGTGCCGGCATCTGCCAGGGGCACCAGCTCATGTCCTGGCTGCTCTACTTCCAATCCAGTGCCTTGCTAACAGTCTGGGAAAAGGTGCGATGGATGGCCCAAGTACATGTGGAAGATCTGGAAGAAGTTAGGGCTCCTGGCTTCAGCCTGGCCCAGCCTCGGCTGTTGTGGGCGTTTAGGGGGTGAACCAGTGGACGAATGATCTATCTCTTTATAAATCTGTCTTTCCAATAAAATAATCTTTTAAAAAAATAGACACGGAATGGCCCTTAGGAGATTCCAGAACGGAAGCCATGCTACCAGCAGCAGTGTGAGTCAAACAGGAAACGGTGGGCAACAGGACCCAGCACCTGCCAGCTGGAGGAGCAAGCTGTACTTTAAGTGAGGAGAAATGGGCATCTACGTACTGTGGGCTGTGCAGCAGGTTTGGACAGTGGGAAATCACATGGCCACTGAGAGAAGGCCCAGAAAGGGAGGCTGCCTCTCGGGAAGGGAGGTTGGCCTCAGCCAGCGTCCACAGCCATGCATGTGGAGGAACCCGGCATGCATGGGGTTCCCGGGCAAGGGCGAGGCCCACATGTACCAAGGCCTTCCCTGGGTATCTACCGAGGTGTGCAGCACAGGGATGGCTGTTGTCTGTCAGAAAAAGATGTACTGATTCATTGGAAAGGCAGTTAAAAAGAGAGAAAGAGACAGAGAGAAAGATCTTCCACTTGCTGGTTCACTCCCCAAATGGTTGTAAAGGCCGGAGCTAGGCCCGTCAGAAGCTGGGAGCTCTTGCTTCTTCCGGGCCTTCCACAAGGGTGCAGGGTCCTAAGCACTTGGTCTATCCTCCTCTGCTTTCCCAGGTGTATCAGCAGGGAACTGGTTCAGAATTGGAGCATCTGGGCCCGGTGCGGTGGCGCAGTGGTTAAGGTCCTCGCCTTGCATGCCCGGGATCCCATATGGGCACCGGTTCTATCCCGGCAGCCCCGCTTCCCTTCCAGCTCCCTGCCTGTGGCCCGGGAAAGCAGTCGAGGATGGCCCAAAGCTTTGGGACCCTGCACCCGCGTGGGAGATGTGGAACAGGCTCCTGGCTTCGGATCGGCATAGCATCGGCCGTTGCACTCACTTGGGGAGTGAATCATCGGAAGGAAGATCTTCCTCTCTGTCTCTCCTCTCTGTATATCTGCCTTTCCAATAAAAAAAAATAAATCTTTTTAAAAAAAAAAAGAATTGGAGCATCTGAGGCTCAAACCGGTGCCCCAATGGGATGCCAGCCTCACAAGCAATAACTTTACGCTTTACACCACAGCACCAACCCCAACAACATCACTTTCTGATATCCATCTTGCTTTTTTCTCCCTCTTAAAAGATTCACTTATTTCTTTGAAAAGCAGAGTGCTAGAAAAAAAGAGATCTTCCATTCACTGGTTCATTTCCCAAGTGACTGCTGGAGCTGCCCCAGGCTGGCTGGAGTCAGGAGCTCCATCTGAGCCACCTCGGTAGGGGCCCTCCTCTGCAGCTTCCCAGGCGCATTGGTAAAGGAGCTGGACTGGAAGCAAAGCTGTCCACTGAGACAGGAACCAGCGTTCTGAGATGGGAGGCCAGTGCTACACGGGAGGGCCCTGCTTGTGGGAAAACTCCCAGGAGTAGCAGGAAGGAGGTGAGGGACAGTCCACTGCAGGTGGCAGGTGCCAGTGGGCACGGCTACTCGGCCAGCTATCTGGGAACACAGAGGGGAGGCGCACACTTCCCCTCACCTCCAGGGGAAGGAGGGAGCTCAGGACTCAGCACCTCTGGCCCACCTGTGCCCAGGCCCTCCCAAGGCCGACAGTGCTCCCATGCCAGAGGTGGCAGGCCCTCAGCTTGGTTCTGACCGTGAGACGCAGGTGCCAGGCAGCAGGGCCATCACTGAGGGGCATGGCTTTTCCCGTCCACTCAGTTCTCTGTGCTGTGTGAGGACACGCTCTGGAGAGAGGCCAGTCGCTCAGTCAGGGAGCAAGGGGCCCCGGGGCACGGTCCCAGACCCTACCTCACAGCCCTGGAGAATGGGGAAAATCAACCATGGCTGCCAGAGACAGTGCCTGGCACCAGCTACAGGAGGCACTCAAAGGCCACAGGTGGCACGTGCCAGGACAGGGGGTAGGCTTCAGAGTCAAGGCCACTGAGACCTTGGGGCACTGTTGAACCTCTCTGAGCCAGCATCTTGCCCCCCAGTATACACACACTCATGGGGTATTGTCCCTTCATCCCCTCCACCTCCCTCCACCATGGTTGTAAGAGGGAGATTTCAGAGTCTGTGGACTTTTTGGTGCGAAAAAAAAAAAAAATGTGAAATCCACACACAGCCACCACATGCAGCTTCCGTGAACTTTTTAAGAATAAACCCATTTTATTGGGTAATGTTTTTTCATTCCAGCAATATATTGGTCTATTCATTCCACTGGCTACCAACTTTTTGAAGTCCCCTCCCTTTATTCTTTTCCTATTTTATATACAAAATCATACAGACAGGGGTCACCATCCAATTAACATCTGTGCCAGACTGTAAGGGGAGGGGCCTGCACACAGCAACTTGACAACACCAGAAACACAGGAAAGAGTCTGGTCCCAGAGCCAAGGCCAGAGGTCAGGACCTGAAGCTTGCTGCCAGCTGGAGGCCTGAGGCTTGTCTGACCCTGGTGGGAATCCTCTCCAGGGTACCCCACCCCCCGGGAGTACAGGGGGGTCAGGGGATGGGCCTGAAACACCCTCCACTTCCGGCCACTGTCCACAGCAAGACCCAGCAGGTGCACAGCCAAGGAGAAATGAGTGCCAAGGCCAGGGTAGGGGAGTCACACCGGGCATGGGCCACTGGCCAGGGTTTGGGGAGGGCGGGGGGTACAGAGATACACACCATAAAAGAGCGGGTCCCTGGGCGGCTTTCGTTTGACGAGGACGCGAGCCAGCAGGGCCACCAGGAGCAGGATGAGAGCAGCCACCCCTACGATTGTCCAGGAGCTGGAAGGACCAGAAAAGGGAGGTGGTCACTTAGCAAAACAAATGCCCAGGGGCCAGGGAACTTCCGGACCACTGAGTGTTCCGGCTGGGGCTGGACCAGCGCCACGTCCTGGGCACGTCCTTTGGCCTCCACCTGCAGCTAAGGGCACTGTACACAGTGAGGGTCGCCTGACACCCTCTGGTCCCTCCAGGTCACAGCCCTGGACTTTCAAGGAGCTGGAGCCCCAGGCCTTTGTTCTTGGCTTGTTGTGACCCCTGTCTCCTGTACACAGTGCTATGTGTGGAGCGCCCTCCACCCCAGCCCAGCCTGGCCCCTGTGGCCTCTTCCTGCCCCCTCCAGCTCCGGCTTCCCAGGGCTGCAGCAAGCATGGCCTCAGAATCAGCCTCCTTCCTTTGGGCAGGCCAGAAGGGAAATACACAACCACACACACACACGCACACACACACACACACACACACACACACACACTGCCACAGCAGCCATGCACAGAGCCATAGCATCCACACATACACACACATACACACTGCCACAGCAGTCACACACACACAGAACCATTAAAGCCGCACACACACAGGTACACACATGCCTTCCAGGACACCACAGGCAATGCCATGTGTACTAGGGGACTTTGAGTGGTTTGTGAGAAAATGGAATTAGAAGTTCTTTTCACGGCACTCATTTTCCATCCTTGCCTTTCAAGACTCCTGCTCTATCCAAACAGGCCAGAGGACGAGGCTAGGAAATCTAGGAGGAGCGTCGGGGCTGGACCAGAGGCCAGCACCAAGGCAGCCCGCAGCAGAGCCAGCAGGGGGCCTACACCGCCAGCCAGGGCCAGGCTCTCTGGCCACCAGGGATACAGGTAAACAGTCTCCCATCTAGGTGGGAGACCCACCTCAGCACCTCCGCCTCCCACACCTCCAACCAGCACAACTCCCAGCTTGGGACAAAGAAGCACCCTGGCTACTCTGTTAACATGCTACACCAGCCCGGAGAGCTGTGACAGTGCCTTCCGGACACCACGCACACACACATGCAACATGGCAGTCTGACAACCACCATGCACATATGTGAGCATGCATGCACACACGCACATAACATGGCAGTCTGTTATCACATGTGCACATGCATGTACACACATGTACACGTGCAACATGGCAGCCTGATAACCTTCATCACATGCCCCCGGGAGAAAGGAAACAGACAGCAGCCAATGAGGGAGGGAGATGGATGATGGACAGGCGGTAGGCGGATGGACGCTGACCGCTGGGCGATACGGAAGATGGCTGATAGATTGTGGGAGGGGGTAGGAGGGGCGGGACAGAGAGCTCCAGGAGGAAGATGAGGATGAGTGCATCCCCGGCCCTGGGAGGCTCCTGGCTGTGCACATCAATGATTGCTCCACGTTCTGCCTCTCAGCTGAGCCCAGGGGAGCTGACGTGGGTCGAGGCCACGAGGCTAGGCCCGTGAGGGAGGCAGGCAGGCATGAGACAGGCGCTTTCATGGTGCACAGCCGGGGAAGTGGAGGGGAGCAGGTGGTAGGCAGGAGACTACCCCCACCCTGCTCCTACCAAGAGCTCACGCACACAGCCATGGGGCTGGCGAAGGCAGGAGGAAGCCACGCAACCTGGTTCACGGCATTCCTTCTGGGGGAGGAGGAGGAAAGAGAGAAGAGAAACTGGGGCGCCGGGTTCCTGCAGGCTCCTGCAGCAGCAGAGGGCAGGGTCCACTCAAGTCAGCAGGACCAAAGCTGGAACAGCAGGGCCAAGTGGGCGAGTGGGCCAAGGGTGATGAGGTTGTTCGTCTCAGGGGACAGAACCGACAGCTCCTCCTTGCATGGATGAGCGTGAGCAGTGCATGAGCATGAGAGAGAGACTCCACCACAATCTGCCAGGTGTCCGGCTGGGCAAGGTACGGTAAGGGCCTGACCCCAAGGACATCAACTCTAGTTACACCAGGTGTGGGGGGCGGCGCTCAAAGAGAGGTACCCCTTGCTTGCTCGCTTGGAGGGGGCTCTGCAGAAGGATGAAGGTGGAGCTTTGGTCTGCCTGGGCCATGCAGCAGCACCAACTGTCAGTTCCAGGGAGGGAGACAGCGACCCCAGGCGGAGAGGCGGGGAAGGGCAAGGGCTGTTTAAGGGGCAAGGTCAGCTGGCCTGCATGTTGGGAATCTCTGCCTTAGCCAGGATCAGGAGGCAAATCTCAGACCAGACCCTGGATGGGAGAAAGGGGACCAAGAGCCCTGAAAGTCTCACCTTCGGGAGGACCGGAGGAGAACTCAGAACCAATGCTTCAAAGCACGGCAGGGCTTAGCAAGGCGACCGATCCATCAATCGCTCGACAATGCCTTGACAACAGTGGATTCCATTCCCACTAAGGTAGATGCAAGTGTCAGCTGAGCCCAGGTCTCAGGAGTCGCCTGCAGATCCCCCTGGCGACCGGGACAGCCTGCTGGGGGCCGCTCTGCTTACCTGCAGGGTACCTGGCAGGTGCACCCACCTGCTTCCCCTGCTCTGATCCCTGTTCCCCTCCTGGAAGACTGTCCCCTGCTGGTCCCCTCACAGGAGGCCTCTGACCATCTGCCCCCTTCTTCCAGTCACACATCATGGCACATTTATGGACGTCTGTTTTGAAGGCCAGAGACGCACACAGCTCCCCAAATACAGTGGCCAGGACTGAGTCACTCTCAATCCAGATTCTCCCACGTGGGTGGCAGGAGCCCCATCACTGGTGCCACCACGTGCTGCCCTCCCAAGCGTTGCAACAACAGGGAGCTGGAGCCGGGTACTCTGATGCGGAAGTCCAGGCGCTCACCACTAAGACCAATGCCAACTCCCACCCCGGTCTCCCAAGGCTGCCCTGACCCCCAGCCTCAGCCTTTTTTGGCTTGTTCAGGACAGTGCCTCCACCACTTTGAACAGGAAGTCCGTGGCTGCTCACTGAGCTGCCCACAATGCCATCTTAGGGCACCTCAACGACAGGCACTTAACACTGGGCTGCCCCAGAGGACTTTGCAGGATGGGGCAGGGGGCAGACTGTGCCCTTTCACAGCTCAGGTGCCCCCTGGATTAGGTGGCTGCAGCAGCCACAGAGAAGTTCCGGCCTGCTGCGGCCACCACTTGAATGCGGCCTGCACGCTGATGCAATTTCCTTAGCACCAGCCCCTGGGAGAAACAGGCTTCTTCCTGCTCCCCCCACAGACAGCCACCACCAGCACCAGCAGCCCCGGCCCCTGTCAGCCTGTGCCAGCATGGAAGGTGGGACCTTGACCCAAAGACATCTTTCCTTCAGCCCCATCGCTTCCCCAGCTCTGAGAAGCTCCCCTGCTCCACCAGCCCTTCTCCTTTCATTAGCAAGTCTTCTTAAATCGCCACAACAGAATGCACACCAAATCCACTTCACAGATCAGAAGACTGAGGCCAGCCTGCAGCGTTGGTGCCAGAACCATGCCTGGAACCCAAGTTCATAGCCTACTGGGCTGGCCAGGGGCTGGGGGGCGGCTATTCCTACTGGTCACGCACAGCATTTTCTAAAATTGCTGAGAAGGGGTGAGTAGGTGCAAGTCCATACATGGGCACTTCGCTGTGAAATGAGAAGAGAAGAAAGCCTCCGCGCTGGTCCGCTCTCCACCCCTCCTCTGCTCCCCACAACCCCTCCAGACACACACACACACACACACACACACTCGGGCAGGCGCATGGCCCTGCTGACCTCTGTGACCCCCAGCCCAGGCGCCCAGCAATCGGCAAACCCCTCCAGGGTCCTCTCTTCTGGGTCCTCTCTCCCGGGCAGAGCAGCAGCCACTGGGCGCTGGGTGCACTTGGCCCTAACGGAAAGTTGCCCCGCCGCACCCGCTGACTTACTCGCGCTGGGCCGCCAGGTGGTTGAAGACATAGGTGACCGGGATGGCCGAGAGGGACAGCACGAAGACCCCGGTGGCTGCAGAAGCACTCATCGCCGCCGCCGCCGCCGCCGCCGCGCCGCGCCGCGCCGCTCGCCCTTCACCGCATCGCGCCCGCGCCCCGCCCGCTTCCGGCGGCGCCCGCGCCCCGCGGCGTCGGCTCCCGGAGCCCCGGCCGCGCCCCGCCCCGCGCCGCCCGCAGCGCCGGCCCGGGGAGCAGGGCGACGCGGGGACAGTCCAGCCGGGGCGGCCGCGCCACGCCGTAGTCTTGGGGGCGCCAGGGCGCAGCGAGGAGCGCGCGCCGACGCCGAGGGGCGGTGCCAGCCTTGCCCGGGCACAGGTGCCCAAACCTGAGGGGGAGGGTGTCAGACGAGAAGGACCACCGACCGGGTCCCCGGCAGCCATGGGCCACATGGGACACATGCCCCGGCGACCTCGGGGTCTCCCCGCGCGCAGCGAGGTGCAAGAGATCAGAATTTCAATCTTAAGCACTGACTACCCTCTCACCGGCTGTGCCCACCTCTGCGTGAGAAACGGCGAGCACGCGTGGGGGGCACCAGGCCCGGAAACCTTGAGTCTGGCGCTGCCTGGGGAACTGCAAAAAACAAGGGTTCCCCACCCCCGCGTGGGCCTGTGGGGTCGAACCCTATCCTGTCCGGCCCTCCTCGCTGAATTCTATGGCAGGAAGCTCCTGGAGGGCCAGCCTGCGGCCAGAGAGCCAGGCGGGCGCTGCAGGGAACAAAGGGTGGAAGACAGATGCCCCGGTGCCCCACTGAGGCGGAGGGAGGGCCAGAAACACCTCCCTTCCCCACCCGCCTTCCCAGCACAGAGTAGTGAGTTTTAGACAATACCAAGAGCGGGGCTGGTACAGACTTAGGGTCCTCACAGCAGCGAGGGAAATTGAGAGACCGCAGGTCTCATTTTGGCCATGGGGGATCCCCAAAGAGGAGCATAGATGACCCCTTCTGCAGCTCTGAGTAGTTAAGATCCAGCCAGAGGCATCCGAAATTCCTCTCCAAATTGGTCCCTCCTGTGACCTGCCCATCAACCTGCTTCACAACCCCAGCTGAGCTTTGCCCTATGCCCCAAACTACTCACAGGT